GTGCGTGTGTATCTATATGTAGTCAATGGGTGTACCTTTGTATCTGCATGTATGTCAGTGTTTATATCTGTGTGTATGTCTATGTGTGTGTCAGTGTATTTATATGTAGTCTGTGTGTTTCTGTATGTTCTTGTGTGTATCTACATGCGGTCAGTGTGTATCTGCATGTGTGTCAGGTAGTGTATTTGTGTGTATCTATATATAGTCAGGGGGCCCAAGCAAATGCTTGCCCAGGGTCCAATCAAGATTAAAGACGGCCCTGCCAAGGAGGCAGATCAAGGACAGGGCCAGTACCATCAGACTGGAATAAAGGTAAAATGTTACTATATTTAGGAGGGTAAGGATGATAGACAGTGATTTGTACACTATAGGGTCAAGAATACATGTTTGTGTTCCTGACCCTATAGTGATCCTTTAACTTATTTTGTGACTAATGGGGAAATCACATAATGATTAAAGCATCTTGTTGTATTAAAGGAACAATGTAGCGTTAGGAATGCAAATATGTATTCCAAATGCAACAGTGCCCTGGTAGCGGTTTTGCACTTAAAAGGGCATAGCAATTGTTGCTAACTTACCTTATCAATGCACTGCTATCCCACCTCCCTGTCTGAGATCATAGAGATCCATAATCTCAGCCAATTCAATGCTTTCCCATAGGAATGCATTAGGAGGCTAGAGCAAATGCACAGCAAAACACTTCGCTACACCAATAAGATGGTCTCTCTCAGATCATCTGATTAACCCCTTAAGGACCAAACTTCTGGAATAAAATGGAATCATGACATGTCACACATGTTATGTGTCCTTAAGGGGTTAAAATAGCAAATATTTGTAGCTCATTTAAACCCTGTAATGAAAACATTGCTGTTCTACAGAATGGCAATGTTTTTACTTAAAAAATGAAAACCAGTGGTTGGGGGGAGGGGATATGGACTTCAGACAACTTCATTGAGATGAAGTGGTCTGGGTGCCTATAGTGTCACTTTGATAACTATGTTTAAACTCATTGCTGCAACACTTCTGTAATATTCTCCCTATTAATATTCCATAATCGAGTGTATCACTTTGTTATTTGTTAAATTACAATTTTAATACAAATTAACTTGCAAGTAATTCTGTATAAAAAGAAAAAAAATGTACTTTGAGATATACATCATACAGGAAATTATGTTTCTATTATTATAGACCAACAATTAACTCTTTGGTGTACTGTTAAAGTTATGCCAAAATTGTATTCACTAGTGTCCATTTCTAATCAATTACACTGGAGAAGAAAACTACAGAGCCTTTAGAGGTGACATGTGAAAGTTATTTTTTAAAATCATGGGAACACTGTACTATTTCATGCGCATGATTTAGTAGATTGTGCCAACCAGAGTGTGAGCATGTGTGTGAGCATGTGTGAGCACAATATAGTTAAAGTGTGGGCATGATTTACTGACTAGTTCACACAAGTTAACTGTATACTGGCCAGCATTTCCTTTTAGCAAAAGTGATGACAAAGACCTCATAGTAGGGAGAAATGTTGCTGTTCTTTTTGTTTCATTAAAACTGCCTGTGGCTTTAACACCTTGAGGGCCTAGAGAATTTATTTTATAGTATTTCCTTTTAGCACCTACTTACCTAATTGCTGCCTTGGCTGGCTTCAGTGATGTGTATCCCTTCCCCCAAAGCTTTGCAATTTGTGGAACCCAGCCTCTCCTGGGAAATGTAGCGGACAGTGCCTGGCCCTCTCTCCTCCCACCCTCCTCATAATGGCAGTGGAGAGAAGGGCAAGCCCTGGCAGCTCTATATTACAGGAGAGGAGGAGTTCTGAAAATTGCAAAGCACCAGGAGAACCTTTCAAGGTAGTAGTTTGTGTGGTGCCCATAATATAGTTATCTCATGCACCCAATTAAGTAGATTGTGCCATGAATCAACTATATCATGCCCACACATTAGTTAAACGGTGAGCATGCATTAACTATCCATTAAGTCATACAAGTTGCGAGGTGGGGCCTCCATGGATCAAATGGACAACACCTCAAACTCTTTGTCCTGTTCATCAAGCCATTCCAGGACAATTTCTGCTGAAAGATGCCACTGTTATCAGGGTATACCATGGCCATCAAGGGGGAACATGGTGTGCAAACCACATGAATGCTAGGACCCAATGTTTCTCAGCATAACATTGTCCAGAGCATAACTTTGCCTCGCCGGTTAGTCTTGTTCTTTGCTGCCATCTCCTCCCCGGGCAAATAACACATGCACATCCACCTTGTCTGAAAGAAAATATGATTCATCAGACCAGGCAACTTTCTTCCATTGCTGCATGTTCCAGCTCTGATACTCACATCCCCATTAAAGGCACTTTTGGCAGTGGATAGCAATCATCATGGGCACTCTGACTGATCTACGCAGCCCCACTGTGTGTTCGGACACATTTCTGTCATGACCTGCATTAATCTTTTCAGCAATTTAAGCTACAGTAGCTTTTCTGTGAGATTGTACCAAAAGGGCTAGTCTTGGATCCCATGTGCATCAATGAGCCTTGAGCATCCAGGACGCTGATTGTCCTTGCACATCTTTTGATAGTTACTAACCACTGTATGCCAAGAACACCCCACATGCCTTGCCGTTTTGGAGATGTTCTGATCCAGTCATCTAGCCATCACTATTTGGCCCTTGTCAAAGTCACTAAGATCTCACTTGCCCCTTTTTCCTGCTTCCAACACATGAAATTCAAGAACTGCTCACATGCTGCCTAATATATTCCAACCTTTGACACGTCCCATTGTAACAATATCATCAATGTTATTCACTTCACCTGTCAGAGGTTTTAATGTTGTGGCTGATCAGTTCAGAGGTAGAGTTTTACTATTTTGATTTTCTGTATATTGCAGGCAGGGTAGCCAGGTGTTTAAAAAAAGATGTATTAAGCCATCTAAACGCAACCAAGATGTGAATGTACTAAAGTTTTAAGTGCTATGAATTTAGCAGTTTTTACGATATTACTCTGAATAGTTGTTATTTGTTTAACCCCTTAAGGACACATGACATGTGTGACATGTCATGATTCCCTTTTATTCCAGAAGTTTGGTCCTTAAGGGGTTAAACATACTATCTCATCACTATTTTTGATATCCTTTTAACTCAACTGAGCTGATGTTGTAGCTGTAAAAGTTACATTTCTTACTTACATTTTAGTTTTACTTTCGATTACCATTAAAGTCATTTTTATTTCTTTTGTACTGACATGTTTGCCAAGCAATGCCTAACCTGATCCAATTTGATTGGTATACATTTATTGTAGTAGATTATTATTTTGAAGACTTTGCTCCAATTTGGCTATTTCACACTGACTGATAACAAGCTGGGCTAAATTTAGTTTTAAGAAAAAACCTTTGTAGATAGACCTAAGGAAAAGCAGCTTATCAATATAACTAAGAATTCATTAAACTTTCAGATACGTTTCCCTTTGGAAGATTTCTTTTTTTCTGTGCTCTGTAGGCCCTGAAAGACAAAAATATTAGATAATTAAAACATAAAAAAATAATGCTTTTTCCCAACACACTATAGTAAAGTTTTATATGTGCACTGCTAATCATTTCTCCTATAATGGGAAAATGTATATATTTTATTGTTTGTTTGTTTCTTTATTTGCTTAGTGTGTGTGATGGAAGTAAAATATTTAAAAATTTGAGGTCGAAGAGGTCCATTATCATTGTTATTTTTTTTTAGCTCTTTCAGAGGAACAAAATTTCAAAAAAGTTATGTCCTACAATTATTACTGATTGGCAACAGCTATACACAATAAACAAAGCCTTATTCAAACATTTTTATTTTTATTTGATGGATGCCTAAGTTTGTGTCGCAAAATAAATACTTTTTTATACCTCTGCAAATATTGCACAATTTCTGGATATTTATAGGTATAGCAAGAAAGTCACAATATACATAGTATTTCACTTTACTGACTCATTCACTTAGTGAAATATATCCAAATGCCTTGTGGGAGTTATCATCCAGGTGCCACTACAATAATCATGTGTGAAGTACCACTTGGCATTTCAGAAAAGAGCAGTGTTGGCTACACAGCTGATGTTGCATGAAGATGCTAATCAGATATATAAGTGAAGCTGATTGTGTCCTCAAACAGATATTTAACTGTAAGACTGTTTGTCACTTCATGACATTATCTGCTTTGTCCACACAGTACTAGGGACAAAGTGCTGAATAAAAAAGGCATTTTGAATTGAATGCTTGGTAATATTTACCCAATGCCCTTAGTAAATTATGAGTAATGTATAATTCATGTACAGTTGGATAACAATGATTGAAAGTGTTCCATTTTTCTTACAGTTGTGTTTAATCATTTTAATTGATCTGTTCCCTGTAGTAATTTCAAATGCATCCAGTTTTGTCAAATGTCAGCCTTTTGACAAATCCCCATTGTATATCACATGGCTAGGCACAGGCGCAAAAGTCCCAAGGCTAATGTAATTTGCATAGAAACACTATGTAAAGTATTATTTTTATTATTTAATAGTATTTTATTCTGTATAAAACATCCATTAAGCAGTCAAGTAAATTATAGTAATACTTTTATTATCTACTACATTCCAAGTCTCAGAGACAGAATATTTTCCCCAACAATTGTTAAAACCAGTAGAGAATAAAAAAAATACAAAAAACTTTTTAATTTGTATATGCCGTTTGTATATTTGTATATGTTGTTAGTAGTGATGTACCGAACGGTTCGCCGGCGAACGGTTCCCGGCGAACATAGCATGTTCGCGTTCGCCACGGCGGGCGAACATATGCGCGGTTCGACCCACCCCCTATTCGTCATCATTGAGTAAACTTTGACCCTGT